AATGTGTATGGGATATAAGATTTTATCAGTATATCAACATCTACATACATATGTATCACTTCTAGCAATGGTCGGTGAAGTTTGTACTTGTAAACATGTATGGGAATATATTAGTTATTTGCAAATTCTGGTTGGGATCTGCTAGTTATTTTATGCACTTTCCCTTTGTTCATCCTTATCCTCAGCGAATATTGTTTTTTGTATGTAAAGTATACATCAGGTAGATATGGTATATGATTCTTCAAAGGCAGTATATGTATGTACCATTATGCCTGTCAATCCGACATTTGAGTGTTCTGACTTATTTGACATCTGAGTGTTCTGTTGTTCAGACTGTCTATTTTTGACATCTGAGTATTTGGATATCCTGGAGGTCTAATTTGACATCTGAGTGTTTGGATATCCTGGAGGTCTAATTTGACATCTGAGTATTTGGATATCCTGGAGGTCTAATTTGACATCTGAGTATTTGGATATCATGAAGGTCTTATTTGACATCTGAGTGTTTGGATATCCTGGAGGTCTAATTTGACATCTGAGTGTTTGGATATCCTGGAGGTCTAATTTGACATCTGAGTATTTGGATATCCTGGAGGTCTACTTTGACATCTGAGTATTTGGATATCCTGGAGGTCTAATTTGACATCTGAGTGTTTGGATATCCTGGAGGTCTAATTTGACATCTGAGTATTTGGATATCCTGGAGGTCTAATTTGACATCTGAGTGTTTGGATATCCTGGAGGTCTTATTTGACATCTGAGTATTTGGATATCCTGGAGGTCTAATTTGACATCTGAGTATTTGGATATCCTGGAGGTCTAATTTGACATCTGAGTATTTGGATATCCTGGAGGTCTAATTTGACATCTGAGTGTTTGGATATCCTGGAGGTCTAATTTGACATCTGAGTGTTTGGATATCCTGGAGGTCTAATTTGACATCTGAGTATTTGGATATCCTGGAGGTCTACTTTGACATCTGAGTATTTGGATATCCTGGAGGTCTAATTTGACATCTGAGTGTTTGGATATCCTGGAGGTCTAATTTGACATCTGAGTATTTGGATATCCTGGAGGTCTAATTTGACATCTGAGTATTTGGATATCCTGGAGGTCTAATTTGACATCTGAGTATTTGGATATCCTGGAGGTCTAATTTGACATCTAATTTGACATCTGAATTTGACATCTGTTTGGATATCCTGGAGGTCTAATTTGACATCTGAGTGTTTGGATATCCTGGACATCTGAGTGTTTGGATATCCTGGAGGTCTAATTCTGACATCTGAGTGTTTGGATTTGGATATCCTGGAGGTTTAATTTGACATTTGACATCTGAGTATTTGGATATCCTGGAGGTCTAATTTGACATCTGAGTGTTTGGATATCCTGGAGGTCTAATTTGACATCTGAGTGTTTGGATATCCTGGAGGTCTAATTTGACATCTGAGTATTTGGATATCATGAAGGTCTTATTTGACATCTGAGTGTTTGGATATCCTGGAGGTCTAATTTGACATCTGAGTGTTTGGATATCCTGGAGGTCTAATTTGACATCTGAGTGTTTGGATATCCTGGAGGTCTAATTTGACATCTGAGTATTTGGATATCCTGGAGGTCTAATTTGACATCTGAGTGTTTGGATATCCTGGAGGTCTAATTTGACATCTGAGTGTTTGGATATCCTGGAGGTCTAATTTGACATCTGAGTGTTTTCATTTTGTATGTTTGTTTTTTTTAATGTTTTTATTGTTACTGTTTACTTCTACAATCTATATTCATAAACTAAAATCAATTTGATGATAAATCAGAATATTTAGTGTAGTCACAGTAACCATGTTTAACCAAATGTAAGGGGACTTAACTCAAACAGGATAAAAAGAAGAGATATATTTCATTGGACAAAAAAGAAACATTTTCATATCATATGTTTGCAAGAAACACATTTTATACAGTACAGAAAAATGTAAGAAAGAGAATGGGGATATAAATGTATTTTCGTAATCACGCTTCAACATCAGTAGGGGTAGCTATATTTCTGAGATATACATTCGAGAATGTTATATATGGCACTACAGAATGGATAACATCAGGGAAAGCTTATTGTACTTGATATTTCAATAAATAAAAATAGATTGTCATTAGCAAGTAAAAATGGGCCAAATCAAGATTCTTCTATATTCTTTGAGAACTTTCTGTCAACCTTACAAGTTTTCAACAATAGTGCATTGATGATATCAGGTGACTGGAACACGTTACAGATAATGATATAAGGTGACTGGAACACGTTACAGATGATGATATAAGGTGACTGGAACACGTTACAGATGATGATATAAGGTGACTGGAACACGTTACAGATGATGATATAAGGTGACTGGAGCACGTTACAGAACAGAGAAATAAATACACGTTATATTCTTCACAACAAGAACCCAAAATCTCAACAAGTAATCAAAAATATAATTACTACATATGACCTTATAGACCCCTGGAGGTGTTTTACCCAAATTTAAGATACTTTACAAGAGGCAAAAAAACTTATTCGACAAACCAAGTTAGATTATTATTTTGGTTTCAGATGACATCTATTTAAAAACAAAAGATTAAAAAATCCAACCTGGTTACAGAACAGGCCACTCTTGTATAATATTAGATGTCGAGTTCAGTAAAGTAGAACGTGGTAGAGGATAATGGAAACATAATGCTTCTCTCTTAGAAGATTTAACTTCTGTACAACAAGTCAGGAACTGAATTGTAGAGACTGTAGATGAATATATTGTAAAAGGAAACAGAAATAACATACAAAATATTGTGGTGAGGGTAAATGATCAACTGTTAAAGGTTAAAATTCGTTCACTCTCAATTTCTTATTCTATCTCAAAAGCACACTTGAGAGAAAATTAGAGATAGAAATAGAAAAACTAGACAGATGAATCAGAGTCCTAGTGGAGGTTTATGGAGAGAATTCAATAACAAACAACTGGAACTGGAATCTATTAGGAAAAGTAAAGTGGAGGGTCTTATTTTACGGTCAAAAACAAACTGGTATAAAAAAAATAGGGACAATGCAACAAAGTATTTTTGTGATTTATAAAAGCGTCATTTTGTAAACAAAAGTATTACTGAATTAACAACAGATGCTGGGGGCTTATTGGATGACCAAGGGGAGATACTTGAAACAGTGACTTTTTTTTTTGAGAATCTTTATACATCGAAACAACATGATTTTACACAATTAGAAAATTCTATTTTTTTCAACATAATATTAAACTAAACAACAGTGATAAGAATAGTTGTGAAGGAGAACTAAAACTGTAAGAACTAGCAAAAGTATTGAAATGTATTGATAATAGGAAAAGTCCAGGGTCAGATGGTTTCAGTACAAAATTCTACAATTTTTTTAGAGGGACCGAGGAGTTTTCGTACGTAGATCATTTAATTATGCATAAAACACAGGTCAGTTGCCTGATTTTCAAAATCAAGGAATTATTTCTTGTATTCCATTTGAGGATAAGGACAAATGGCGACCAATTTCTTTATTAAATATAAACTTTAAGATTGCAACTGCAGCTATAGCCGATAGAATTAAAAATGTTCTCCGAAAACTTGTAAGTGAAACACAAACAGGTTTTATCAAAGGTAGGTTCATAGGGGACAAACCAGTCTTCTCTATGACTTAATGACATTATTAGAAGAAAAAAGTAAATCAAGACTCTTGTTTATTTTGGAATTTGAAAAAAAGCATTTGACTCAATTGAGTAGAGTTTTATTAATAAGGTTTTGAAATCTTTTAACTTTGGATAGTCTTTATGCGAATGGGTTAAAAAAACATATAGATTATAAAAAGCTGTATACTTAACAATGGTCACTTATCAGCTTTCTTTGACTTGGGTCCAGATTGTCGTCTAGCGACCCATTGTCACCAGATATGTTTTGTATTGGAGTTGAACTTCTATCCTGATCAATGAAATCCAATAATAATATGAAAAGTGTAGTTATAACAGAAAGCTGATTCCTTCTTGGTCAATATGCTGACGATGTATATCTTCTACTTGATGGCAATAGTCAATCTTTATACACTGCAGTTGAGTTATTGGAAGATTTTGCCAAAGTATTAGGACTTAAGATAAATTTACAAAAGTCTACTCTGTACTGGATAGGAAATAAAAAGCTTTCAACTGAAAGAATATGACCTGGCCCCACTTGTATAAAACATCTCAACTTGAGATTTCCTCAAGTCGAGATTTTCCTAAGCTGATATCTCCTCAAAAACGGCTTGTATAAAATTTTCTCAAGGAACAGGAGGAAGGCATCGGCTAGGATTTCCTGAAATTCCTTGCGGAATTTTCATACAAGATATTTTCAAGGAGATATTAGCTGAGGAAAATCTCGACTTTAGGAAATCTCAAGTTGAGATGTTTTATACAAGTGGGGCCTGATCTGAAGACTACCAGGCCAAATGCAAACTTAAAATTGCTGGGTATAATATTTTCATTCGATACAGAAAACATGGAACGGGGGGGGGGGGGGGGGGGGGGGGGTTTATTTGAAGAGATCGATTTATGTTGTACTTAACATGACCCATAATTTTTCTTTCATTAAAGACCTAAAAGTGAAATGGATCAGAATAATATTTGACGGTTCTAGGATATAGGATAACCTGTGAAACTGAACTTTTGTATGATCTTGATAGGAAAACACTAAAGGAAGTTGGGAAATATTTTTAAAAAATCCTTTCTAGAGAGAGAAAGCCAATGCCTTGTCAGAAATCCAATGCGAGTCTGATAATCTATCAGAATATGTATGTAAGAGTTTAGTCAATTTTGTGCCAGTGGAAAATACAAAGTTATGTAATTAGTGGAAAACACGAAGTAGTTTAGGTACAGTCGAGGATTCCGTTACCATGAATGAAAACCCTTCAGCGAGCCCCAATAAATCAAACGGAAGTAGGAATTATATGAAAGCGAGGCTAATTCTACTTTCAGATTTACTTATGTAATGCTACAAGGAAAGTTAAACCGGCAGAATCAGGTAAGATAAATATATAATTTTATTACAAACGGGAAATTAATTGAATAATAACCTTACTTTAACCGTCAAGTCCGTTCATGTAATAAACCAAACTTAAACAATTTACCCCGTCAGTCACCTATGCGGGCAAAACTGATGGTAACGACTGTTATCAGCTGATTGTTTAATGGTACATTGTATTTGTGCAAGAGGAACGGGTTTGCCTAACTGTAGCTTTCTCATTAGAAAATCATGTGTATCTACGTCTTCATGTAGATCAAAGCACGAATGTACTTATTCTGCTTTATACATAGTTAGCCGTGTTATACAATGTTTCACATTGGTTGGTCAAATATTCTTGAAAGGGCAGTAACTCTGTAGGCCATATGTTGTTGGACGTACTAAATATACTGCTTACTCAACATGTGTACACGTATCTTTAAGTACAGGCAGAAGACTTCTCATTTTAAAGGATGCTGAATTTACAAATGAGATTATTTTAAGACATTTTCTGCAATAGTGACAAGTCATAGTTCAGTAATAATGACTACCTGTTTACTTGTGAAACAAGCATTTACATGTTATTGTGCATAACAGTATCACAAAAGAAAAAGTTATCAGTATCACTAGCTGTTAAAAAAAGAAACTCATCAATAGTCAATATAATCTGAAAATAACTAATTTACTCTTTCAAAACACACTTAATTATATCCTAACTATTTTGTATTTTACAGATGTCAATAATCCTTTGAGAAGTATGGAAATCAAATCACTAAAGGTGTAACTGATGTTTGACAAATCAAAACTTACATATTTCTGACCAGTAGTTTTATTTGTTAGAATGAGTAGTACACAAGGAGCACGGGTACGGGCCCTGTATAAGGCTATTTTAAAGCTGCATCGTGGTTTACCTCTGAATTTCAAGGCCATTGGAGACCAATATGTGAAGGACGAATTTAAAAGACACAAAAACATCACCTCAGCAGAAGCAGAGGTGTTTATGGACGAGTGGACAGTAGGGGTTTCCTTTTTTACCTCGTTAAATCTTTTCACAGATTATTTAATGTAGTACAAAGATTTGTTTCTGTAAGGCTGTTTCTGTTGTACATAGTATGTTAGTACATACTAAGTATGTATTGTGTATCAAATCAGATTAATTCATCTTACAATATTGTTCTTGATTCTATTTATTAAAGAACAACTTTGTTAAAGTAAAACTTTCAGTTTCTAGTTAGAATTTTGGTGAAATATCTAATTTTTTTCATTTTTAAATAAAAGAAAAATCCAGTAATTATTACTTGTAGATTTAAATGTCTCTCTTTATTGCAGAAATATTATCTGATGATAGGAAAGCAACTGTCTCAGAGAAAACAGAAACAGACCATAGGAGTTAACATGTCTTCAGAACTTTTGGACTGCTTTAGTGATGAACAAATTGTGCAGCTGATGGAGTTAAAAACGGAGACTGTAAAACCTACACCGGAAGACAGCTAACCCATCTATATCTATACTCTGTTTTCAAAAGAGGTCCTCACATCATATTCTGGTTATCTAAGTTCTGCTTTTTCCAAATATAACTGGATGATAGTGATGAAAACTTACCTAATTATTATTTAAAGAAAAAAGGACAACATAACTTTGTCTGTTTTGTGATTTCTGTTGATTATAAATTTTATTAACAACAACATTGTGTTCATTAAGCTGTGAATAAAGTAATAAAACTTATCAATCCAATTTGATTTCATGCACAATACAATTATTGGTAATGACAGGAATACTACTGCCTGGTGACCTTACACCAGAATTCACGATGGGTTTCTGCCTAATACCTTGTGATGTTCCAACTTAATGCTGGTTACTTCCATAATTCCAATAACCTCTCAATGTAGTTATCATTGCTTTCAAACTCAAGTCCAAGGGCATTTAACTTGTTTCCCATCCTAATTCAAGTGACCTTTCACCTCAATCCTCTGAATTCCGACCATAGATTTGTTGGCCTCCCACTATTTTCCTCAGGAATTATCACCTTTATTCCAATGACCTGTTTTAATGCTAGTGAACTTCAATTGTATCCCTAATGAAATTCCACATCATTAAATACAAACTGTAATCTATCTTGGTCACTTAAATCACATTTATATCTTTCTCATCTCCAATCTTAAAAAAACTCTTGCATTTAATCCTTACATGGTTATCCTGATTATCTTCAACATAACTTTCCTTCTAAACCCTGGTTAACGTCTGAAATGGAACTGCCAATCTAAGCCCTGGTTAACGTCTGAAACGGGCCAATCTAAGCCCTGGTTAACGTCTGAAACGGAACTGCCAATCTAAGCCTGGTAAACATCTCTGACCAAATGTCTAATCTTAACCCTGGTAAACATCTCTGACCAAATGTCTAATCTTAACCCTGGTAAACATCTCTGACCAAATGTCCAATCTTTACCCTGGTAAACATCTCTCCCATAACCTCCCATCTTAACCATTGTTAACATCTCTCACAGAACCTCACATCTTATCCATGGTACACATCTCTAACAGAATCTCGCATCTTAACCCTGATTTTTATCTCTGAAAATGCTAATCTTCCTACCTCCAATCCTAGTCATGCTAACTTTCCTACCTCCATGCTTAATCATGCTAACCTTCCTTCATCCCACCTTAGTCATGCTAACCCTCCTACCTTCCACTCTAGTCATGCTAACCTTCCTACCTCAAAGATACTTATGTGAACCTTCCTACAGCATACCCTAGTCATGCTAACCTTCCTTCATCCCACTCTAGTAATGCCAACCTTCCTATCTCCAACCCACATCATGCTGTCATTTCCATCTCTCGTCCAACTCATGTTACCCTTCCTTCATTAAACCTAGCCATGCTAGCCTTCCTACCTCCCACCCTAGTCATGCTAACTTTCCTACCTCCCATCCTGATAATGCCAACCTTCCTACATTAAACCTAGTCATTCTAACCTACCTACCTCCAACTCTAGTCTTGCACCTTAACCCTGCTTATAATTTATCAGAGAATCTTGAATCTTAACCCTGGTAAACATCTCTCCCACAACCTCCCATCTTAACCCTTAATATCTTTCACAAAACCTCCTATCTTAACCTTGCTAAACATTTCTTGCAGAATCTGCCATCTTAACCCTTGTTGACATCTCTCACAGGACCTCTCATCTTAACCATGGTACACATCTCTAACAGAATCTGCATCTTAACCCTGATTATCATCCCTGAAAAAGCTAACCTTCCTGACACCAACCCTAGTCATGCTAACCCTCCTACCTCCCACTCTGGTCATGCTACCCTTCCTACCTCCCACCCTAGTCATGCTATCCTTCCTACACCCTACCCTAGTCATGCTAACATTCCCACCTCCGAACCTAGTCATGCTATCATTCCTACATGCTAACCTTCCCTCTTCCCACCCTAGTCATGCTACCCTTCCTACTTCCAAACCTAGTCATGCTAACCTTCCTACCTCCCACCCTAGTCATGCTACCGTTCCTAGCTCCAACCCTAGTCATGCTAACCTTCCTAGCTCCCACCCTAGTCATGCTACCCTTCCCTCTTCCCACCCTAGTCATGCTACCCTTCCTAACTCCCACCCTAGTCATGCTAACCTTCCTACCTCCCACCCTAGTCATGCTACCCTTCCCTCTTCCCATCCTAGTCATGCTACCCTTCCTAGCTCCAACCCTAGTCATGCTACCCTTCCTAGCTCCAACCCTAGTCATGCTACCCTTCCTAGCTCCCACCCTAGTCATGCTACCCTTCCTAGCTCCCACCCTAGTCATGCTACCTTCCTAGCTCCCTAGTCATGCTACCCTTCCCACCCTAGTCATGCTACCCTTCCTAGCTCCAACCCTAGTCATGCTACCCTTCCTAGCTCCAACCCTAGTCATGCTACCCTTCCTAGCTCCCACCCTAGTCATGCTACCCTTCCCTCTTCCCACCCTAGTCATGCTACCCTTCCTAGCTCCCACCCTAGTCATGCTACCCTTCCTAGCTCCCACCCTAGTCATGCTACCCTTCCCTCTTCCCACCCTAGTCATGCTACCCTTCCTACCTCCCAAATTTCGTTAACCTTTTAATCCAAGATAGCCTATATCTAAATCCGTCACATTCCACCTGAAAGCTGAGGGACAACTTATAAAACTGTTAAGTAAAAAAATTAAGAAATTGGTGGAATAGAGTTTAAGATGGGTGTCTCAAGGAGCGATGTCATTCTGAGCCATCCATTGATAAGTCTTTTTTTTTTTTTTTTTTTTGTGGTAAATTTGAATTTCTTGAATAACAAACATGAAAGACTGAAATGGGAACCCCGGTTTCCTTTTCGGTGCTCGGGAACAGGTCAAACTTCACAAACATAATTATAAATAGCAATCATAAATCAACTCTAGACATTGCTCAATGTCAAGGTCTTCGTTACTATTTTCAGCAAAATAAAGGCCAGAAGTTTGTTTGTTTATTCAGTCAAAGGCATAATAAAATTACACATTACAAATATTACATAAGCAAGTTTTATGGCTTTATACCTTGGAGGATTTGGATGAATTCGAATTTAATAGTTTTAATGTTTATTCGTAATGTTACACTGGATCGACAAATATGTTTGTTAAGTATACTATTGAAATATGTTACGCCCTGTTCCACTGACCAAGAAACTGCCCGCCGTATCTTTGTACTCTGTGAAATAGATGTCCGTCATCGGTGACGAAATGTTTCGTGAATTTTGGCAGTTCGGTGTCGGCCAGCCATTTGAAAAAAGAAAAATTAAAGGAGATATATTTTTATACAGAATATCAGCAGTAAAGTGTTATCTGTATATAGATTCTACGATTAGGTATAGAAATATCACAGGGTTTGATTTTGCCATTGCATACATTGGCGCCCCTGTAGCACTATGAAATAATACTTAGCCATGTCCCACCAGCGTTACTTTCACAAGTACCGAATGCAAGCGGGGGAAATAAACGTTATCGAGACTGGGGACATTTTAATGACTACCCCCTCTTGAAACTTGACATGTTTCGCTGATCGATGATAACTAAACACTAAATTGAATGTGTTATCCAGTACAATGAATCTTAATCTTTGATTAGTTGAAAAACATAAATGACATATTTGAATGAAAGTGTAAAATTGTTACAAACATTTAGCGGTAGCGTTTTTTTTTTTTTTTTTGTGTGTCGGTATATAATCACATCGAAAAATAAACAACCACACGTTCGATGACCTCCGGTGTTATTCGAAACGCAAGGAATGTAACTTGCGTCATTTCATTGCCTTACGTGAGAACATGAAAAAAATTCAATTGATCTGTATCGCTCACCTGGATCTTTATGATCAACAGCACTATATCTGTGCATATGTTCCACGTTTAACACATTTGACACCTGTGACCTTGACTACGGGTCAAGGTCGTTGCTTTTTGCAAACTTTCTTGGACTTCATAAAAGGAACATATTGGCCAAATATAATGATTCTAGGCTTTTCGATATTTCAGAAGAAATTGTTTAAACGTTTTAACACATTTACCCCTGTGACCTTGAAGATTGGTCCAAGTCATTTCTTTTAGCAAACTTAGTAGGACACCATAAGAGGAACATAGTAGCCTAATGTAATGATTCTAGGCATTCCGGTATTTGGGGAGAAGTCGTTTAAAGGTTTTACCATATTTGACCTCTGTGACCTGGAATATGGGACAAGGTCATTTCTATTAGCAAATTGTGTTGGGCTTCATCAAAGGAACCTTCCAGCCAAATATAATGATTTTAGGACTTCCGGTATTTTGGAAGAAACCGTTAAAAGGTTTTAACACATTTGACCTATGTGACCTTGAATATGGGTCAAGGTTATTTCTTTTCGTAAACTTTGTTGGGCCTCATCGAAGGAACCTTCCAGCCAGATATGATAACTTTACGCCTTTCGGTATTTCAGAAGAAGTTGTTTAAATGAAAAGTTGACGGACGCTGCGGTATGGCATAACCTCACTTGGCCCTTTGGGCCAGGTGAGCTAAAAATGTACAGATTTACCCGACCCTACTCTAATATAAAATAAAAACTATTCCATCAATCTAAACCAAGGAACCATTTGGGCTGTTTCCTGATTCTGGCACGATTGAATATATCTACTGGTGAACAGTCGTAGTCGAACAGGACACAATCAGATCTAAATACGTCACGGAGCTTATGTAAGTCCTCCATATCAACAGAGGCATACGCGGTCAACATGACGTCTCTTTTTTCAACACGTGAGGCCCTGTAGTTCAAATGTTTGAACAGCAGCTGCAGTAATTGTTCGTGACTGACGTTATCGCTATCACTTCTTTTGATTGGATAACTGGCTTTCAAACTTATCAAACCGCGCAATTGCAGCGCGCGCCACATGCGCTGTTGAGCCGTGAAGAAACTTGGAACGCATTTATGACGATCAACAAGGTCTTTTTTGAAGAAAAACAACAGGTCTACACTATGTTGGAACTGATCTCTAACGTGAGCATCGTTAAACTGATCTCGGAGTCTGTTATTCATTTTCGTATGTCCTATAGTCCGTATCAGAAACATTGTATCGTTATAAAATGTTCCCATCTTTCCTATGATGTCATACCGGATATGACATGGACGACAATGTTCCGTAATTGTAATGAAATGGCTGTCCGTTTTCTCCAGACCATGTGCAAGATTGATTGTATACTTCACAAATTCTGCAAAACTGACGTCATTTCCACATCGTAAGCTGCTAAACTTTGCTAAGTCTCGATACTTGCGAACAATACCGGTTCCCACTAAAATCCAGAAGTTGATATTCGGAGAAATAAACTTATCGATATACGCCGAAAACAATCTCTCGTATGGATCTCGAGAGAACATAACAGTTAACGAAGAGCCCATCATTTGGTTATATTGCTCTTCGGTCTTGTTGTCCATGGTATCTACATTTTCTGGTATATACGCATCAAATGCCCGGATGTCATACGGGCTTGATTTTTTGGCGTCAATCAGGATCTGTCAAACAAATGATGAAGGGAATTTTGAATTTGTTTGATAACGACAACAATGATAAACACACATGAATAAGGTAGCTCGTGACACTAAGGTAGCTGAAACATATTTTTTAAAAATATTCGTATGCAAAAATAAAGTTCATGTCTTTTTGTTCCTAGCTTCCATATATTTGTAAATCCTCCGTCTCAACTTCAAACAAGTAGCTGAAAGCCTTACCGTAAAACCCATTTACTTAACTGATTCATAGCCAATCCTTCAGGCTTTTTAATTCAATTGAATTGAAGGTCGAGGGCATAAAGCGACCGACATTTTGACAAATAGAAACCCAGTGTCAAGTGTCTGGCCTCTTCAACAGGTAAAAAATATATAAACAAGGTCACGCACTTGGCATCAGTCAAGGAATGTTACCACGGATATCCACCTTAATGGAGCTGTTTGAAAAAATTAGATGAAATAAAATTAATGTAGCTTACGGCACATTGCTCTGGCAATTTGGCAACTACAGATATTAAGATCCAGCATACATCGTGTGTCCATCAAACTTTATTTCATTTTGAAAGATGGACGATCTACATGGAGAGGTGATTAAAACTTTGAAGGTGGCACTAGTAATGTTAATGGTCATTGGGAAACATTACTGAGTGGTTAAACCGAAAGGTGAATGATATCTGCACGCAAGTGAAAAACCAGGTTTCTCTTGTTCATAAAACAGACGTGAACGACCTTTAATGGACACATGTCCACAGCAGGCATCTGTCCGTCAAAATATCTAACGTCTTGTGTGGGAGCTAGAGGAAATTTAGATTAGGTGAAAGGAAGGAAAGTAATAATAACCGTGAAAGTCGTCGCTACAATGCTTGTGACACCGACGGCAACACATTAACATTAATGAACAGTTATAAAGTAGGGAACACCAAGTCACTTACAGAAAAGAACCTCCGCCAAAACGTTAGTCCGACTTTTTCAACCCCACAGAAAACAAGATTGCGCCCGCTGTCGACCAATAGATGCTCCCTGAAAAGCTTCTCTTCGTACAACCTCTTTTCAGACGGTAATGACGCACAATTCTCGAGAAGTCTGTTCCGTCGCATGACGTAGGTGATTGGAATCTTGCGACCAAATGTTTTGTTGCCGAAATATCGCTGAAAAGATTCGATCAAACAAAACACGGATATACACGTATGTATTAGGAGTAACAGACATCATATTTGGACTATTACGGAGGTTTTGCATTGATGGTCAATTCAAACGACGGACTTTAGCCGACAGCATACCGTATTGCACCCTAAAGTATGGTATGATTCCTATAAAGCTCTGTCATTTACTCTGACCAAAAATGACATACCACTACATTTCCCATTATTACATTTCCTACGCATCATGTTTCTTATGCCGATGAAAACTTTATTTAAACTGAAATAAAGATTCGTTTATTTAGTTTTTTTAATCATGTTTTATTATCAGTAGCAGAAAAATGCATCAGAGACAAGTTCTAGCACCTTATGACTTTTTCTTCATAAATAAAATTACAAATAATTGATATACCGCACGTGACACATATTTATACTATAAACATGAAAATATGTAATTGGTAGACGTACAATTGTTTAAATAGTTTTGTCAAAAGGAGGAAAAGATGAGAAGATATGATAGAAAGATTAGAAGAGAAAAGGAGCCTATATCGATTTTATATCAATTCAGTGCCGACTACAAACAGTTCAGAATCAGGTTGTGTTAATATGCGTTGTTTGTTTTATAAACTTCTGAACAAATCTGACAATTTTACGAGTAGCTTTATATGAGTTAACATGACTGTCGACCCATAAGACAGGTCCTATATCAAAATCTACGTCTAAATTATACAAAGTTTCAAATATGCGTCTACAATAAGGAAATAATGAACATGTAAGGAAATAGTGAGTGTCTTTAATACGTTCACCACACGAACAATTCGGGGATTGGCAAATACCTACCCTATATAAATCTGAACGCAAGCCACAACAGTGGTGTCTGATGCGACCGTGTGTGACAGAGAGGTATCGATTACTAGAATGTAAATAATCAGGAACTGATGTTATTGAGACTGGGGACATTTTAATGACTACCCCCTCTTGAACCCTGACATGTTTCGCTGATCGATGATAACTAAACACTAAATTGAATGTGTTATCCAGTACAATGAATCTTAATCTTTGATTAGTTGAAAAGAAAAACATACATGACATATTCGAATGAAATAGTAAAAAAATGTTACAAACATTAAGCGGAGACGTTTCGTTTGTGTGTCAGAATACAATCACGTTGAAAAATAAACAACCACACGTACGTGCAGTTCGATGACCTACGGTGTTATTCGAAACGCAAGGAATGTAACTTACGTCATTTCATTGCCTTATAGAAATATGTTACGCTCTGTTTCACTGACCGAGAAACTCCCCGCCGTATCTTTTTTATTTTACTCTGTGAAATAGATGTCCGTCATCGGTGACAAAATCTTTCGTGATTTTTGGCAGTTCGGTGTCGGCCAGCCATTTGAAAAAAATATTAAAAGGAGATATATTTTTATACAGAATATCAGCAGTAAAGTGTTCTCTGTAAATAGATTCTACGATTAGGTATAGAAATGTCCCAGACTTTGATTGTGTCATTGCCTACATTGGCGCCCATGTAGGGACTCTGGAATAATACTTAGCCATGCCCCACCAGCGTTGTTTTTCACAAGTACCGAAACTACCGAGTGTATGCGGGATAGGTTGCTTTTGAGTGTTTTAGTGATACAGCCGATTTAGTAGAATTGTCTAAATTATTCCACAAATTTATAGACGACGGAACAAAAGACTTTTCATAATGTCCAGCTTACTTCGGTGGAATTGACATCTGTCTGGATTTCTTAACTTTATGTTTAAGTCACGCGTGTTAGGTGGTATCAAGATTTCTAGGTGTAGAGGGACGTTTTTGTTATATATTTTGTAGATAGATTCGTTGTTGAAAGTAATCCATTTAGTAGAACATTCATTGAGGCGTTGTGCGGCTGAAGCCGTTGTCATGCCTACGAAAATGACGTGGCAATGGTCACGATGTGGATGGTATTCGTCGTGATTTCCTTATGCCTTAGAATAGCCATGTAAACGCAAATACAAACAAAACTGTATGATGCAACGATTTTATTTACTGCCTGACCTTTCGTTTATTGAAAACTGAATGCTATTATTACAACAGCTGTTATTCTGCTAAATTTATATATTTTATCTTATTTTAAGATTTCACTAAAAAAGATCAATCACACATGACCCCGACGTGATTTGAACACGCAACCTTCTGATCTGGAGTCAGACGCGCTACCGTTGCGCCACGGAGTCTTCGTTACAGGAGCAGCGCCCGGTAAAGTATTTTATTATATACAAAAAGTATTTTATATTTATACTTACATAATTTGGCAGGTTGGCATATTCCTTCAGATCATCTACAACATAATTTAGACAAAAATAGATTCCATGCAAACACCGTACCATGATACCACACGACTGATGCAATCGATATTAAATATTACAGGACAGTCTTTTAGCATTTACTTTCATTTTTACTTTTGATCAGTTGTGTTTGGATATTTCAGTATTTTCTATAGCCGGCCAAGTGTTCTTGCATTAGAAATGAAACAAAGATATCTTAGACTTTAACTTTTTTTACAAATTACATGTAACTGTAACATGAATTTGGTTTAAGGTTGGAAGAATCGTTACCAGGACGTGTCTGTTCATGGATTTTATATAAATTGAAACGTACGCCATGTACGTGATGTTACTTTGCTTCCTTTCTGTATTTGCGTTGTACATATAGTTGGTAATTATTTTTCACTCAATGACGTATTGATTGGTTTGTGTCCAGGTCAGAGTATTATCTTTGCCGGGACGAGGGAGAGAGAAAAAAACAAGAAGCAAAATGACTTACTTGAAACACTGATCTCATTGCTGTCAAATATGGTAAGTACGGAAGGTCCAAAAATGCATAATATGCATGACGTCAGCGTCACGATGACGATAAACTTGAGGCGACGTATTCGTCTGACGAAGGACCTCATGTCAGCATAACGACCAGTAAAATCTGCTTACAGATGGAGACGTATTTTTTGTTTTGTTATTTTTACACAAACTTATTTTGACATGAAATCAATGGGTGTCATTTTCGATATCATATCCCTACATTTGGAAAATTCCGTCCATAAAAACAGCTTCCCCCATATTTTTAAGTATACATGTACGTTTCTATAGTAACTAATGAAAATGAGAAAAACAATGTGTTACAAAATAACAAAAATAAGAGCCCGAATGTCTAAGATGGTACAAGTTGACTGTATCTTATAACGGTCAAGGTAATTCGTTTGAACAAACATTAGATCTTAAGTTATATTACTGTAACCGTGTAAAAGGTTTAGTAAAAAAAAGGAGATAACCGATTGTTCTATACATATGTTTAAATTTTATTTCTCCATAATGAATTTGAGAGCAAAACTCTTGTATCGAGATGAAATTCGAAATTTCGTGTTGATATTTAAAAGATGACAATATTTGAAACAAGAATTGATCAACCCAACTCAAATTAAGCGAAACGTTTTTACTTCTAGTCCATTTCTGGTCCATTTGCTAAATTATAAATGACTGAAGATTACACGACAAACAAATCAATCATGTTTACACATATATGCTTCTTGTGTTACTTTGTTATCACTTCTTATTTATATATCATTAGAACATGTACCACGATAATTTAGTTTAAAAGAACGAAGTCTGTTTTAAATGAGTGTGGTTAGAACATGACGACATAACATCATAACATGATGCGATGTAGGAAAATGTTTACAATTAATGAAATGTATGACGTTTGTTTAGCTTCAAATTAAGATAACAAAAAATGAAATAAAATAAATAATTATAAAGAAAGATAACAACTTACCATGAACGTGTCAATCACTGCACTGCAGGTAGGTAGTTTGGGAAGAAATAATCCGTGTCACCGAACTCGCGTTTATAGGCAGTTACTGAAGAAAACGGAGTCTTTTTGTACTAGTTATCAGCTTGATGGGAGGTCAATTCAAGATTTCTAATTATTTCCGATCAAACACTAAAAAGAAAATATTCTATTCCTCCCTCAGCGAACGTGTTAAATGAAATAAATATATTTTTATAAGTTAATTTGAAATGCTGACCGTTCAAAATGAAAGAGAGAAAAAAAATGCCCTGTAAGGTATCAATGGAGCTGTAATTAGATGCCCCGCTGTTAGGTCTATGGAACGTATAAATGGTAATTTGAGACGTTGAAAAGATGACACGCATGAAGATAAAAACTGACAATAGATGATCGACTTAAAGTAAACAGCTGTGTTCAGAATCGATAGAATTATATCTATATAAAAGCGGTAGAAGACACGATCCACAAATAATGAGCTTTTGAAATTAAAGAAAATCAATCAAATTTCTGTTGTGATGTTAGAGAGATGTATTGTAACTAGAACACAATGCAAATATAGAAAGCGAAAATAGGGAAATAACCAGGGATTCTATTTACTTAATTGAGGGAGATAAAGAACTCCCGAAACGATTCATTACTATTAATCCTAGATGAATTGTGTGCAATGGACTATTATATCAATACGTTTGTGCCCTCTGCTATTTTCTTACATGATTGTTTTATAGCTTTAATCTGGTATTTCCTCGAAGCTATAATCGACAAAAACTTGAAATTCCACAACAATCCGGTGAGATACACACATACAAGTAAACGAAAACAGAACCAAACATTAACTCCCAGCTGACTTATAGGAATCGTGTATATGTTTGTGTTTTGAGAATGGGACGGAAGGCTGTACTTCCCTATACATACAACAATCGGTTAGATTATAAGAAAAAAATAACTTTTTATCTGTGGCACTTTCCTATTGCTACTATGGTAGAAGATGAATGATGACCGACGTGTTTGTGCGTATCACACGCCGCAATGTCTGACAATACATGAGCGAACATGATAAAGCACATTTTAACTATTAACTGTATTTATATCTAACTTGATTCTCAATATATGGTATATTTTTCTAAGTTAAACACGTGTTCTTACCAGGAACGAGAGGGTTGTTACACAACGAATTCGAAAATATACATTGTGTACATCGATTTTGTACACATAGAAGAAAATGGGACAAACTTACTAATATTTCATTTACCTATTTTCAATTTTCTATGGACCCGGAATTTATCATACAAGTGACTAATCTTATGAATATGAAGAAACGTCGTACCACTTTATTTCAGCATACCGCTAGTCAGATGTCCGTTGGGCTTTTGATTTTTAATATGTAGTTTGGATACTGTGATACTTTTTACTCGTGTGACACTGTAATTCTTTTGAACAATGTTACTCATTTAAGTTATCTTGAAAGCACTTTATCCGTGTATGCTACTGGACAAACCTCAGGGCTCTGACTTGTTTCATCCCAATAGGCTACACACATAATAGCTTTGCCCTGATCCTTTTATTAATTCAAAAGTATTTCAGATTCCAACAGACCTCTAACAAACTATCGTTACCCTGAACTTTTCGTTTCGGTTATTAAGAAGTCATTTAAAAGATCCCAGCATTATCCTAATCAACTATCGTTACTCTGAACTTTTCGGTAATTAAGAAGTCATTTAAAACATCCCACCATTTTCCTAACCAACTATCTTTATTCTGATCTTTTCCGTTATTAAGAAGTCATTTAAAACATCCCACCATTTTCCTAACCAACTATCTTTATTCTGATCTTTTCCGTTATTAAGAAGTCATTTAAAACATCCCACCATTTTCCTAACCAACTATCTTTATTCTGATCTTTTCCGTTATTAAGAAGTCATTTAAAACATCCCACCATTTTCCTAAGCAACTATCTTTACCCTGAACTTTTCCGTTATTAAGAAGTCATTTAAAACATCCCACCATTTTCCTAACCAACTATCTTTATTCTGATCTTTTCCGTTATTAAGAAGTCATTTAAAACATCCCACCATTTTCCTAAGCAACTATCTTTACCCTGAACCTTTTCGGTTATTAAGAAGTTATTTAAAAGATCCCAGTATTTTCCTAACCAACTATCTTTACTCTGAACTTTTAGGTTAATATAGGTCCACAAGACAAGATCATATCGGGTCACACGATCATGTCATATAAGGCCACAAGATAAAATTAGATAGGTCACATAATAAGGGCAGATAGGGTCACAGAATCAGGTCATATTGGGCCACAGGATGAATAAATCACATAAGGTCACACGATAAGGTCATAATATATGGTCACTGAGCCGTGATTTACCCGAAATTAAACACCTGTTCTATAAATGCAAGACAGTGGTGTTCAAGACAGCGTGATCGCTATCGTTAGAACCTTGAGGATATAACTTGTTTTGGTAGCTATCAACATCACTATATATCAAACTTTGTCATTAGGTCAGTGTGCAACAGAGGAACTAGTGTGTTAATAAGAGACGTTTATTCTCCATTGACACAGAAATATTACCTACAAACGGACTAATCAACATTGTAAAGTGGATATTTACTCTAGAGTTTAATAAGGGGGGGGGGGGGAATCTTAAATCGTTATCATCCCGACACAAAGCAAAATATAAGGTATCCCCTACCTTACAATAGTGTTTACGTTCTCACGAAATCGTCATAGTTGGCTAGTTAACGCTCCCCGCTCTCCTTTGACCTACGTATGCATGTGTATCTATGTACGTAAACCAAATCAGGTGAATAACTTCCTGTTTTTAACTGTTCGCATTTCATTTAGGAGACGGAGAGGTTTTCTTGAATAGCAATCAAATAGTCGACAGCGGTATCAGGTTAATGCCAGATGTTTTGACATTGTCAACAAACCATTACCGATATACGAATTTTTCTACAAAATATTTTCGAAAGGAAATTGCGGAATGGCGATGAAAGACATTAGAAAATTCGTTAAAAGAGAGATCGAGGATTTGAAGTCTCCAGATTTATGGCGAGCGACATGTGCCGAATGGCTAGGGCTTGCATTAGTAACTCTTTTTGCGGCAGGGACAGGATTGCATCACGAGGGGATCCCATCTTCTGCACCCTCGAGTGTAAATATTGCTCTGGAAGCTGGTTTTATGATCGGTTGCCTGGTAACTGTGTTCGGAACTGTTAGCGGCGGTCATGTCAACCCCAGTATTACTATAGGATTTGCCGTTACGAGAGAAATAACATTTGCCAGATCATTGTTATACATTTTGGCTCAAAGTTTCGGTGGTATCTGTGGTGCGGGACTATTGTATCTGCTGACACCGATAGGCATGCAAAAGGGTTCGTTCGGTCTGATTCTTCCGGGGAAGGATGTAACGGATGTACAAGCTTTGTTCGCCGAGGCTTTAATTGGTTTCTTCTTACTCTTCGGAACGTTTGCCGTTATTGACAAAGGCCGGAATGACCTTCAAGGGTCAGTTCCGTTGATGATCGGACTCATGGTTTCCATCAACGTATTTTTTGCGGTAAGTCTGGGCTCTAAACTGATATCAATGAATATAGAAAATAACATTGGGACAAGTGGATACTGAACTTTCTCGGTTTTTTAAACAAATGTCATGAATATTTAAGGTGAGAAAATAAATCTATCTGTATATATACTAGTGGGAAAAAACGAAAGTTCGGTTTTTGTAATACAACTTTTAGATACATGGACGAAATTTGATTAAAATTGACACTAAGCTACCTCTTAACACTGAACATAATATTTAGACCGTGGCCCTGCTTGACGCTGAATGCTTTCATCAAGTTTTACAAGAAAGCGGTGCTGTACATCATTACAAATAGAACATTGGAGCAGTACGGCTGCTCAACATTTCTGTTCGAAGCGAATGTAGAGGGAATGAATGAAGTCGATTATGCAAGGGGCATTTGCAGCGTCATGTATCCCAATATCCCGTCTACTTGGGCATCTCAGAGCCACAGGGAGATTGGGTGACCGTCCCAGGAGCGGACGCGTGGCGAGGTCAAGATAGAGGCAGACGTCTCTCGCGACTCAATAACCGATTTCAGACGGCGACGGAGACGACCCACCAAGTTGCCGGTACTCATAGTCAGCCAGTGTGTCCAGTTTCGTTTAAGGGCACGACGTGTACTTGGAAAGTTTGCTTTTTTCCGTATAAAGGACCAATTAGAGGAATTATAAGCAAGATAATTTTTATAGAAAAAAAAACTGTAGAGGAAAAAGCAATTTTTCATTTTTTATTAATTATTTATTTCAATTTCCAATTCTACAGACCCGGAGGTCCACTTACAGAATGGATAACAAATATCACGCAAGAATACATATCACAGTCACATAGAACTATTAAATGTACAAAATATGGAACTATCGGTAATAGGCATTAATGAGTCGTGCTTTAAATGCGGTGAGAGACAAATTAAACACATCACAGACTGAAACAAGACGAAGAGAGTTAAAATTTGACTGAGTTCTGTTAAAAACACTGTATTTTCTAACATTTAAACGTCTTCTCTGTCAGTAAAATTGAATTGAACGAGTAGCTCGCAGATTACGACCAGGAACTAAAAACACATTTGCTCGACTAAATATGGACAATCAAAAACACTATTTACACATTTGAAAAGAAATACACCGTCTAAAAATAATCGTCTATGTTCCAAGCTGGGGATATTAAAATAATTACAAGTTTCAGCGTAAGACATTGAATTGAAAAAAACATGTGCCTTAAAACATAAAAATCTCAAAAAATTTCGCTGAGCAGCTTCGATTTGGTGAATTAAAGAAGTTTGGTGAGGTGACCAGATCTGACAACAGTATTCTAACTGACTCCTTACATGGCTAATGTATAAAGCATTTAAACATTAAACATTTTTAAATAACTAATTGAGATTTTTTTTTGCAACCAGAACATAATAGGAGACGGATTTTATTAGTTTAATTAAAACAACCGACAAATATCATTAGACGGAAAACAATTTTATCCGGATACTATCATACATGTATGTTCAATACATATTCTTTTAGTTCGTAATGAATCGGTCTTACTTGTGAAATTTCTTAAAGTTATGAGTTTGTCTAAAATTTGGGGAATACTTCTCATTATGAAAATGAGGAAATTGTGGACGGACCATGGAAAGGAGGGAGGATGGAGGGTTTGAGTAAATGCACCATAGGGTTCAGTAAAGCATGTAGTCTCCATGAAGCCCCATATGAATTCGATATAGTAGTATTGGGATTAGAATGCTAACTTTTATGTTGCCAAGATTTTACTGTGATAAGCTTTTTTTCTGTTTAGTATTTTTTTTTCATTTAGAATACCACTTGGCCCATAAACATATGGCCCATAGATTAACTCTTGCAAGCTAATAAGTGATCGACATAGCTCTAGTAATTACCACCTCTGCATAACAAATATATGAATATATGTCTTGTATATAATTATCTACTCTGTGTAAGTTTACAGAAATAAAACCGTTGTCATTGCCCCATTACCCACACATATTTCGACTTCCAATATAAAATATAATATTATTTGTGTTTTCCTGTCAACAGTTCAATATATCCGGTGGGTGTATGAATCCAGCTCGGAACCTTGGGCCAGCCGTCATCACTGGCAGACTGGACAAAATATGGGTAAGGGTTTATAACGATGTCGTAATTCACGAAAGGACTTCGTCTATTTCATCAACATGAAATAAGAATTCACAAAACGCGAAGATAGCTTTGACGATTTTGTACAGGAAACTAAGTACTTTTAGATATAGAGTGATTACAAATGAAAATGTACTTTCGGTACATTTGGGTCTGTATCGCTCACATTTTATTAATTTAACTGAAAAATTCAGTGGTTAAAACCTAGTTCTTTATGTTTTAATTTTTCCTACCTGAGGGTTCCTATAATATATTCATTTTACCTAATTCAGATACAATATTCATTGATAGAAGAGAATTCATTGAAAGAAACTTGTGTACATATGAACACGTTGTTATCTGTACTTTAATAAAGAGAAAGTTACTGTTCGCGATGGAAGGCAATGATAATATATGAAGTTAAAGTGCTGTACGAGTTCAATGCGTTCAGTAGATAAATTACAATGATTTACAACTGGGTCAGATAAATGGTATTTAAGTTTATTGCTACTTTCTCTGAAATTATGGAGATCCGCCTGAGTGCTTGTTGTAGAGTACAGTAGTTATGTTCTAATTCTGCTGACATGAAAAGTCCGATGATAGCTTACATATCACCAAGTCATTATTTTGTTCATTTATTGAAATTTGAAGGATGAATGAGAAACAGTTCAGCCTATGTTATAAGAAGAACATGGTATATGCAATGGTATATTACATCTATATATGTTAATAGCGCAAGTGATAACTCAGAAAAACGGCTTTAAGTTTTTTTTTAGTTCTGCTGATGATAGCTTACATAAGTTAAGAAGACAAGTTATAACGCAAAGTGAAGAAGTGAAGGTTATTGGAAGAACGTTTTCTGGTAAATTTGTTAATGCTCGTCCTACGCACAATGCCCTTCACTTACAGTACGTTGCATCCGAAACATGCCAAGTGACTTTTAAAGTAAATATAGCATAAGTAAGTAGTTATATCTAAACCACATTTTTACGACAAATTTCAGGTCAGAAGATATAGTAACGATTGAAGAAGTGACAACACAGCATCGGTTAATGATTTTCAAAGGAAAAATAGATAACTAAATATTAGCTTTTTCTTTGTTGACTTTTGTGTAAAGTTTGTTCAACTTCCCGTAATAATTTTTGTCAAATTCCTTTAAAAAATGAAGTCACTAGATGAATGTCACGGACTTGGTCAAATACTTACTCTGCTGGTTTGACGTAGCAAACACGGAAAACAATGTCGCACAAACAGACCGATCTCTGACTAATCATAGCTCATTATTTGTAAGCATGATGTAAACAATTCGTCTGGACAGGCGAATGGAGAGGAAACCAGCATAGGGACCTTTGTGCTTTTGGGAACAGGTGTCATTGTAGATGCCTGGTGGCTACCTCGCTGGACCATAAGTACCAGCCTTTAAATCATATGATGACCTGTCACATACTTTCCAGAGGACACGACCAATTAAAGAAATCGTCTCGTATAGGGATCGAACCACGGGATGTAATCATTTGTGAATTTCAAACATAGAATATAAACAATATATGTAGATACATAGGCAAACGTAATAGAGTAAATATCGTTAAATTGAACAGAAAATTTCCATTTTATTCCATCGACATTCAATAACAAACACAGATCACGACTAAGATTCAAACTTGAAATTTTAGTCAAGCTTAGTTTATTTACTGAAATAATCCTACACTTTTGTGGAATTATCTTATTGCAAGCATCATGACCCCCTACTTTGTATTAAAACCGAATGACGTGTTTCTTTTGGTTCACGCTGGCACGGCATTTCATACGGAAATATATAAGTCATGTTTTAAGATTTATCAATCAAAAGTCAATATGGGACTTGTCTCCTCGGGTATTGACCCGCCCTGTCGTTCACATTAAAATATATGGCACCCGACCACTTGAAGCATTAACCCTGCAATTTACAGAGCGTGTCATATGGTTTAGTAATAGTAAGATAACAGCAAGGAAGTAAACTGGACACGCCTATTACTACATATCTGCAATGTACTGTTATTCAGTCAGGGATGAAATAAGTTAATTCAGACCTAGAACATCAGCATCAAATTCTATTAATAAATGTAAATTTCTAGATGGTTTTTAGTGTTTTAACTGTCCTAATACTTACCTTTTTAATTTTTGATAGCTGTATTGGGTTGGACCTCTGGTCGGAGGAGCAATAGGCGCTCTGTTGTATGACAAGATCTTCTCCACAAAAGCGTGTGGATTGTGCATAGGAAACTGCTTCCCCACAATTCCTGGGGACGAGGAAAATCTAGAAAATGGAAGAAAGGAAATAATGTCTGAAATAAAAGAACCTCCTGTCAAAGAACATGACGACAAAGGATTATCAGCTAAAATAGAATCAATCCGACTTTAATTCGAGAAAAAAATGTCAAATTTACATGCATACAAGTGTATAGTATGTGCTATTCGTGTGTGCCATGGAGGAAAGCACAGCTTAACCGCTTATTAGGATGCCGTTTCCGGCGCCATCCTTAATAATATACATACAGAACTGTGCAAGAAATATATCAAGAAAGCAGACATGTCGACCGAATGTAAAGTAACTTGTTGGTTGATAGCTCGGAGTGTTAAATCACTTCAGTGCTCCCTTTGTTGTCATCGTTACCGTGTCAGCATATATATATATATATATGTAATGAAACCATATGCAGAAACTACATATATATTAATTTTTCCTAAATCAGGTAAAATATTCATTGATACAAAACAGAATACTTGGTATGTGTGAATGATACAAGAAATCAATGAAATAATATATATTTATGTACACGGTGCTATCAGAGGCGTTACTGTTCGCGATGAAAGGAAATGATGATGTATATAAGTTTAAGCGCTGTACGATTTCCATGCGTTCAGTAAATAAATTACAATGATTTACGTCTGGGTAAGATATAACGTGTATTTAAGTTTTTTGCTGCTTTCTCTGAAATTATAGAGATCCGCCTGGGTGCTTGTTGTAGAGTACAGTAGTTATGATAGTCCGATGATAACTTACATATCATATATATGTAATATACCATTGAATATACCATGTTCTTCTTATAGTAAAGCCTAAACCGTTTCCCATTCATCCTTCAAATTTCAATAAATGAACAACATGATGATTTGGTGATCCGATTTAGCCTGTCATCCTCGCATATAAATGCACAAATTTCAAGGCGGGTCAGACATGCTTGATAACTTATGTGTACATGTTGTCGCCGACGACCTGAAATCATTTGTATGTATAATTTGTTTCGGATATTTTTGTTATAGATCACAATAAACAGAGAACGACGTACATGACTGAGTATCAAGCGCATCTGTTTTCTCTCTCTTTTTTTCTCCTTTTTGTTGACTGTTTGATGCTTTGTGACTTGCCTTGAGGCAGGTGATGTACATGTATGAAAATCTAAACACATTGAACAATAATGGAAAAGACTATTCCTTCCAGGCATATATACATATGTACCGGCCTCCTAAAAATGTAAAATTATAATAGGAATTAGGACGTGACGAAGATGTTGCCAAGACATCACACTAGTTTCTGTAACTATTATATTTTTTGTGATATCTCCGAAAATGATGGCCAGGTGATATCACCGAAAAAAATGGCCTGGTGATATCTCTGACAATAAATGGCCTGGTGATATCTGTGACGGTAAGTTGCCTGCTGATATATCTGACAATAAATGGCCTGGTGATATCTGTGACAGTAAATGGCCTGGTGATATCTCTGACAATAAATGACCTGGTGATATCTGTGACAGTAAATGGCCTGGTGATAACTGTGACAGTAAATGACCTGGTGATAACTGTGACAGTAAATGACCTGGTGATAACTGTGACAGTAAATGGCCTGGTGATATCTCTGAGAGTAAATTGCCTCGTGATATCTCTGACAATAAATGGCCTGGTGATATCTCTGACAGTAAATGACCTGGTGATATCTCTGACAGTAAATGGCCTGGTGATATCTCTGACAGTAAATTGCCTGGTGATATCTCTGAGAGTAAATTGCCTCGTGATATCTCTGACAGTAAATGACCTGGTGATATCTCTGACAGTAAATGACCTGGTGATATCTCTGACAATAAATGGCCTGGTGATATCTGTGACGGTAAGTTGCCTGGTGATATATCTGACAGTAAATGGCCTGTTGAATAAATTGCCTGGTGATAGTCCTTACAATAAATTGAGAATTGCCTGGTGATAGTCCTTACAATAAAATTGCCTCGTGATATCTCTGACAATAGATGGCCTGGTGATCGTCTTTACAATAAATTGCCTGGTGATCGTCTTTACAATAAATTGCCTGGTGATAGTCCTTACAATAAATTGCCTGGTGATATCTCTGACAATGAATTGCCTGGTGATAGTCCTTACAATAAATTGCCTGGTGATACCTCTGACAATAAATTGCCAGGTGATACCTCTGACAACAAATTGTCTGGTGATATCTCCGACAATAAATGGCCAAGTGATATCTCCGACAATAAATGGCCAAGTGAAGTCGACAGTGTGTAAAGTCAACTGGATGTAACCCAGAGCTGTTTCCTATTTTGTAACCCAACGCGAGTGTCTTCGGAAAGTAGCTATATCCTGTCCACCATGCAATACCGTTGATTCACGGTGTTAACAGCCCAACCATATTTTGAATGTCCCGCATTGATTATAGAAAATCGGTGCTCGTTTATACTTCTCGCATAAATGGTTTTCAAAATTTCTGTCATGAGAACCACTCTTTCGCAATTGCACTGTAACCCATAATAGTTAAAAGAATTGGGTCCCGAATATTTTAGGGCTGCTTGTACCAACTGATGGCTACTACACCGTCACTGATCAGCATACGAGAGACCCGTCGCATATGATATCCGGAGCTATGAAATATCCTGCCAAATGACACAGCCACGACAGTACACATCGGTTATGATCTCAGTCTCATGTTCAGCACAAACCTACAAAGAAGGCATTGGGCTTTTCTATTAGCTTGTCAATGGTAGGAGCTATGATCCCTCTATGACATCTCGTTGTATTAAGATTCCCTTCCTTTAAGCCTTCGTGATATACAGTATAATTACTTATTTCATGTTTTTATGTGTTCCCAACGCCAGATGTTAAACATTTCTAATTTGACGGACGCACGCCTGTTGAGAAATAAATATTTTATACTAAATAGACCACGCCATAAAACTATTAACAGCTGTGGTCAAGCGGATGAGTACATCTGCTAAGTGCGCGTGTTTATGGTAGTGTGGAACTGAAGCCGACTTCCCAGTCATTACACAAAGGTTTTATTTCAGGTAAAAACTTTGTTTCTCCTAAACATTAAATTTGTCGATAATGAACAGCTGCTGCACGACTCGGACATGCTGAACTGATCGTTTCTGATTTATCAGACAGTAATTTGAAACAGTTGATACTGAAAATTTTTATTAATGTTCAGATATATCAGATGGACATCTGACTAAGATTAAATTAATAGATAAATTATATCTGATGCTGTCGTTATACATCTTTCCACAGGTCATGTGCAGAAATGGAAAATCACAAGGCGGAAAACAAAACGAACAATCAAAATGAAAACAACAAAACACAAATAAAAGTAAACAAAAAACCACACAAACACGCAACAAAAACAAAACGCACACACAGAGGAAAATCTGCAAGTAACTACTAAAACAATGTCGCCATTTTTTTCATTATTAGAATGATTGGTCCGGTTGCTTGGTATCTTCGTCCGGCAAAACGCACGGCAAATACAAAGGCACTAGATATGAAGAAACGAGCACCTGTGATAAATGAATGACACCATTACTGACTGATAAATGCAATACTAGTAGCTAGATGTATAAGGAACAGGATTGAGAATACCCTGACCCCATTTCATGTTTTCTATTGTACTATATGCCAAATCATCAACTCGTGCACTAAAAATGTAAACATAAAAGATATGTCGTTTGAAACGAACTCGTTTCGGATATTGCATGGTATCAATTCTGAATGCTCTGGGCGTGGCGGCGAAATAATAACCACCACCTGTCTCATTCACAACAGCTTTGTTTCATAACCACTATCTATCTCATTCAAAACAGCTTTGTTTATAACAACCGCCTGTCTCATTAAAAACAGCTATGTTTATAAAACCACTTGTCTCATTAAAATCAGCTTTGTTTATAACCACTGCCTGTCTCATTCAAAACAGATTTGTTTCATAACATCCGCCTGTCTCATTCAAAACAGATTTGTTTCATAACATCCGCCTGTCTCACTCAAAACAGCTTTGTTTTATAACCACCGCCTGTCTCTTTCAAAATAGCTTTGTTTATAACCACCACCTGTCTCATTCAAAACAGCTTTGTTTCATTACCATCGCCTGTCTCATTCAAAACAGCTTTGTTTATAACCACCACCTGTCTCATTCAAAACAGCTTTGTTTATAACAACCGCCTGTCTCCTTCAAAACAGCTTTGTTTATAACCACCACCCGTTTTCAAAACAGCTTTGTTTATAACCACCACCTGATTCAAAATAGCTTTGTTTATAAAAACCGCCTGTCTCATTCAAAACAGCTTTGTTTATAACCACCACCTGTCTCATTCAAAACAGCTTTGTTTATAACCACCACCTGTCTCATTCACAACAGCTTTGTTTATAACAACCGCCTGTCTCATTCAAAACAGCTTTGTTTATAACCACCACCTGTCTCATTCAAAATAGCTTTGTTTATAACCACCACCTGTCTCATTCAAAACAGCTTTGTTTATAACAACCGCCTGTCTCATTCAAAACAGCTTTGTTTATAACAACCGCCTGTCTCATTAAAAACAGCTATGTTTATAAAACCACTTGTCTCATTAAAATCAGCTTTGTTTATAACCACTGCCTGTCTCATTCAAAACAGATTTGTTTCATAACATCCGCCTGTCTCATTCAAAACAGATTTGTTTCATAACATCCGCCTGTCTCACTCAAAACAGATTTGTTTTATAACCACCGCCTGTTTCATTCAAAATAGCTTTGTTTATAACCACCACCTGTCTCATTCAAAACAGCTTTGTTTCATTACCATCGCCTGTCTCATTCAAAACAGCTTTGTTTATAACCACCACCTGTCTCATTCAAAACAGCTTTGTTTATAACAACCGCCTGTCTCATTCAAAACAGCTTTGTTTATAACCACCACCCGTCTCATTCAAAACAGCTTTGTTTATAACCACCACCTGTCTCATTCAAAATAGCTTTGTTTATAAAAACCGCCTGTCTCATTCAAAACAGCTTTGTTTATAACCACCACCTGTCTCATTCAAAACAGCTTTGTTTATAACCACCACCTGTCTCATTCACAACAGCTTTGTTTATAACAACCGCCTG